CACGACCAGTAAAAGTAAGTACGTATTGTCTGAAAATGAAGTACCAAAAGTAAGACTCCACGAATATTATATTCTTAAATTATAGTGATCTATAATCGGTATTTAACTGAATGAATCATATTTAATTTATCCTTTTTTTTAATTTCATGAGATTAACTGACGTTTTCGCCGTCTGGGGTGCAATAACAGCACATGCCTACACGCTACGTGTACGAGTAAGCAATTAAACAAAGGTGCATTCATTGACAGGTCAATAAGCAATAAATTATATTTGTTTTGTTTAGTTTATGTTTGTTTGTTTGTTTGTTTGTTATCTCGCTGACAGCCTGTTACTCACCTTGGCATCCAGGAACACGCAGACTCTCTGCAGCTGAAATATTTCACCTAAAAAGCGACTTCCGAGGACGAAACTGTGAAGAAAAACGGCGTTTGCTTTAGAGCCCATACACTTAGAAAAATCTTCAAGCCGGATAAACATTCACAAGTGAGAGAGAGAAAAAATAACGAGAGCAGTTTCTTCCAAACGAGGGAGGGTCGTAAAGTGGAGCCAAGGAAAGTGGAAAAACTGTGACAGCGAGGGGACCGAGAGAGGAGGAGGGAAGAGAAGGAGGGATAAAGCAGAGAGGAGGTTTAGGAGAGAGAGAGGGGGGGAGGTCTGCAGGGAGACTGGGAGTTGTTTTTGCCTTCGGTGGGCCTCCAGACCTTGATGTGTAAGTGTGTGTGTTTTGGAAATTTTCAGGAATAAGCGCTCCAGAGGGATAATACCTGGAAAAAAAAGTAAGTTTAGAGTGAGTGTGCAGGTGGAAAATACAGCTCAGATAGATCGTTGTTGAAATCAGAAGAGTTTCAGCAGGCAGCAAAGATAGTGAAAACGTGGAAACAAAATGAACAAGGTCGGGGGCAGGGGTCTTATGAAGTTTCAGCTGGTGCACGACAGATGACAAAAATCCAGAAATAGTCTAAAATATGTGAATTGAAGGATTGAGTCTGTTGATCTAACCTCCGGGGGCAAGTGTCAATTCTTCACGAAATCTGCTCCGAGATTTTCTCATTGTTCAGAAACACACAATATTAATGATCATTAGCCATTTTTGCTTTTCACACATAGACTGTATACAGATGATGAACCTAAACCCAGTGACGTCACCCAAGATGCTGCCATGTCAGTTTTATGGTTTCCCAGAAGTCACTATAGTTAGATGGCAGTATGAAGAGTTAAAAGCTCTCGCTAACACTTGGTGTGATCGGACAAAAGAGCCTAGAAACAGAAACCAAGCAGTTTGTCACATGTACTCATTCATATGGTATATTCTTCAGTATCTCTGACTCCCTGTGAATGAACTGAAACTGAAAGTCCAAGAAGTCACTGCTTTGTTTGTTTTCTGAATTTTAAAAAGAAAATCAAACTAAGAGCTTCTGTCTGCTGCCACCTTCACAAACCCTTTGGCTGTACGTGCAAGTCTCTAGAATTGTATATGAAAGAAATTACACATTGACCAATATGTTATATAAAAAACATAAATAAGATTTTCGATGTAATAAATCTACCTCTCCCAAAATGTTGGCAACTATTGTAAAAGAAAAAAAAGAGTGTTTGTTTTATAATTAATATAAAGTCGATAGCTTTCCAGATGTGCAGCGGATGGATTATGTATAGATTATACTGAGGATGCTGATGATGGAGATGTCAGACTGACAGCATGAAAAGCACTGACAGTGGCTGCAGTGGACACACATCATTGTTTTAACCTTCAGTTTACAGTTTGCTCTTCTCCACAGCTGACTGAATGACCAACTACAGCACAGGCAAGACTGGTTGTTTGTCACACTGCCCCCTAGTGGTACAGCATATATAGACTCTGCACATCAATGATGAACAGGCAGTTTGTGACATTTACTCATTCATATGGTATATTCTTCAGTATCCCTGTCTGCCTGTGAATAAACTGAAACTGAAAGTCCAAGAAGTCACTGCCTTGTTTGTTTTGCATTTTGAAAAGAATCAGACTAAGAGTTTCTGTCTGCTGTGAGGAAACCACATTCACAAGCTGTTTAGCTGTACGTGCAAGTCTCTAGCATTGTATATGAAAGAAATTACACATTTGCCAATATGTTTTGTAAATAACATAAATAAGATCTGCAGTGTAATAAATCTAGTCATCAGGACTGGCTTCACTTTTGAGAGCCAGGATGTTCATCCATCCTCTATAAATACTGTGTGACTGATCAGTTCCTTCTGCAGTATTTGATGGTTAATAAATTCCTGTGTGCGCATCATATAACCACGGTTAATGGTTACATGTGACGAAAAAGAAAGCACCTGAACAATTATAAACAGATTTGTTTCTTTTATGTGTTGAACATGTGGTACAGTGAACATAGAAACAATTTATACTTACAGTGTAAAGTTACAATCTGCACAAATATATTAATACATAAATATGTACAAAATAGATACATTTGCAAATAAATGTGTAAACATATAAAAAGCATTAAAAAGTACAAAACAGATTAAAAGGTAAGTTTCTTTAGCTTGAAGTCAAACAATAAATGCTGAGTTGAATTCTCTCCTTCCTTTTTCTTCTACTTTTGACTTCTGTCTTTTGGGGGTCACCACAGCAGATTTCACCCAATCCCTGACATCCTGCCCGTCACACCAACCCTCTGCATGCTCTCCTTCACTAAAACTACCAATCGTCTCTGTGCTCTTTCTCTTTACTGCTGATTTTTGGAGAATCTTTGTGTATCTTTCTGCATAAGCAATACCATTGCAAACAAACACAAATGCAGTACTATAAAAAAGGCTTCAGGTGTTTGAATCCTGAACTCTTTCTAATGGCCAGCAGGGCTTGACTCATATGATTCTCAGTCAGATTCACTCCACACTGGTCACATCGCTGTCTGCAGGGGTTTACTCCCAGTCAACTACCAGAGCTATTGTCTACAGACTTTTAGTCATGTGTCTTCTCTTTCTTCACCAGTCTGCACCAGTCTCTCACAGACAGCTGTGTAATAGCCTCCTGCTCCCCAAACAGTAGGCCAGCTGATAACCAGAGTGTTCAGGATGCCTGTTTCCCTCCTGCTGGGTGCTGACACAGATAAACAGCTCATGGATGGAGGCCTGTTGGAACAAACATCCTCACTGTGAGGAAACCAGTGCAGAGGCTAAATAAAATTGTTTCCTGCCGTCCCACAGAGTGGACACTGATGGATGGCCGACATCATTTAAGTGTCGCTTTTAGCTTTCCCCGGTAAGGTCAGAAAAGGTATCTGAGGAACGCAAACATCTGCTGATGTGAAGCAATCCTGGGCGTAACTGCCTGTTACACCCGGCAAACACCATTCCCAACATTCAAGTCAATTCGGTTTCTTCATCCTGAAAACATGCTACTACCAACTGCAGCTGATGATCTCTGTCAGTTTTATGGTTAAGTTTCAGCTGCTGGTTGAAATATGATATCTAAAGAGTCAGTGTTGATCAGTTTGTATGTAGAGAGAGGCAAAAAGCACTGTGTAGAGTAAAAAAAAAATCTTTATTTGGAATTTTGAGTCCTCCCAGAGAAAAAAGGACTATCTGAAATTATTATCAGTAATATAGTAAATGCACAGTGCATGGTTTGGGGTATTTTGACAAGTTAATCTCATATAGGGAGATCTTGAATTGTTAATTCTTCTTTAAAAAACGTATTCATCAGAAAGGAGTGCAGCCATTAGTCAGTTTTTCCTCTGTGTGCAGGAATAAACCTGGAAAAACATCTGTATTAATACCAATTCTTAAAATATGTCTCATTTTTAATGTCAGTAAGAGAACACATTTGCACCACCCCAGGCTTAACAATTGATTGTTTTCTTATTCTTTCTGGTATGTAATGCTGCCACCTACTGACACAGAGTCAGTCATTAAAAACATCAACCCTGCATGACGTTGTTTGAAAGGCCACACACACACACACACACACACACACACACACACACACACACACACACACACACACACACACACACAGAGAGAGAGAGAATACAAATTTAAATTAAATTAAGCTTAAAATCCTAGAAGCACTTAACTGATTTGATTTTGTAATAAAATGGTTACATTTGTACTTCCATGTGCCTCTTCACCTCACTGTGCAATACTTTTGTAAATAGTCAACGGTGCAATAGACTCAATACTTGAAATGTGCAATTCACTTGTATTTTTATTTTTATTCCTATTTATTCTATTTATCCCCTTCGTATATTTTATTTATATTGTCTCTGTATTTATATATATATATGTGTGTGTGTGTGTGTGTATTGTATATATATATATATATGTATGTATGTGTGTGTATATATATATATATATATATATATATATATATATATATATATATATATATATATATAATATTCTGTAACTCTGTAACTTCTGTCGGTGCTGTGCTTTTTTGGAAATCAAATTTCCCAGAGGAACCCACCCGAGGGATTAATAAAGTTCTATCTAATCTAATCTAATCTCTAATCTAATGTGGCTCGTTTTCTGTTATTTTTCCATGTATGAAATGCTGATATTATAGCGTTTCCTGAACTTCCTCATTGAACTGGTTTTATTTATCTATGAATTTATTCATTGGGATAATCTTTTCATTGTCATCAGTGTGGTACTCTGATTTTAAATACACAGGTGTCATTTTCACTTGTTGATAACAAGTACATTCAAACAAACTGTGTAAACTGTGTAACCACATGTTTAGGGGACAAAGTGGCCATGAATACATAAGAACATGGAGGACAGAAGATTAATGAAATTTTGTGGTGACAGAGACATTAGACTATAACTATTTTTTGTTTGATTTTTTATGCATCATTTATTATGTGTCTCTGTGTGCTGTGATATAACAGATGTGAATACAGCAATTACTGGGTTTTTGTTTGTTTGTTTTGGTTCCTTTAATTTATGCACATGTTAATAAAGTTATTGGGAAAAGGGGGGGGTTACCGCCTCCCTTCCGTGACGTGTTTCCGGTGTCATGTCAGCGGTCTGCTGGCACCGCATGTTTACACTCTGATGCTCCTGCACGGTTCCAGTCCTCACGTTTTTCAGTGAAACAGTTCGACAGAAACAAACGGAGGTTTGTGGACTTGTTATTTCTGTTGTGTCGCCGAAGGTTCGGGAAACATTGGTCTAGAAACGGCCGTGAACATCAGGTGTTTAACGCTAGCTGTTAGCATCAGCTCGTCCAGTGTAAAGAGCGAAACCGGTTCAGTTAGCATCCCAGAATGCGCAAATTCACCAGTTTTAACTTCACTCTTAAACCTGCTCAGGTCCTGAGATCTGCTTTAAACCTCTCTGCAGTTACACGGCAGCTTATAAGAGAAGCAGACTGGTTTTATAGGCTAACCGTGCGCGACATGTCTCAATATCGTGGATAAAACGATTCCTTTAAAATATATTGGATGTTTAAAACATTTGAAAAGTCTTTAGATCAACAGTCAGAAACACAAAGTCAAACTTTTATTTCTGTTGCACGTTTCAAACCGGAGTTGAGTCAAGCTGCTCTCCATCAAATACGTCGATACACCAAGTCTCCAAAAACACAGATAATCAGTGTAATTATTAGGAAATGAGAAATCGGAGCTTTTTAAAAAAGTTATCACTAATGAAGTAAAATCTGCGAATGAAAACAAGAACTGACTAAGAAAAGCAATAAGAAAATGTTTGCTGTGGACAAAAAGCACAATCAGACTCTTTATGAGGGAGGTGGGATAGTCAGAGCTGAAGGGCAATAATAGGGAAGGTCTCGTCTCCTTTAGGGTCTTTATATTCATAACACTGCAACTGTTGCACAGTAAGAACAGTAGACAGGACCCTGTAAAACTCACCAGTCACAATACATACAGATGTGTGTTTGTGACTGACCTGCTCCCTGAGTGCCATTTATTTTTCAACCATTACCTGAAAATCTTAATTTATTCTCTCCATCACTCCTCCACCTCTCCTGTGGGTGATTTGTCTTACACCAAGTGAGGAAAAGAAGTAGGACTGGGCGATATGGCCTAAAATTCACATCACAATATTTTTTAGCTGGATGGCGATACACGATATATATCTCGATATTTTTTAAAGCCATTAAATAAGAACAAAAAGAGTTCTTAGTCTAAGCTGTGTCCCAGATGTCACACAGGCACTTTTATTCACATACAGCGCAGATGTACATGAAAAAATTACTTAGAAATAAATTATCAGCATTTATTAAATAATAATGCTCCATAAATAAAAGAAAACAGTGTTGTTTTTGTGCATAACAAAAAGCTCACAATTGTGCAGTCGAAATGTAAACTAACAGACGCTGAGCATAATAACAAAGAGACAGATTTCACAGCTGCTCTGTTCCCAACTTGTACTGCGTGACTGACAGCCTGGAGTTTGAAATCCTCTTTGTAACCGTGTCTCTTACAGGTGCCATTTATGGTCCTTATACACACACAATACGGTAATATTACGTTGAAGCACAGTACGTATCACTCCGCGAGGCTTCTGACTACGCTAGCCGTAATGCTCCGACAAACCATCAAGCGGTGCAGTTTCGTAGCTCAGCAAAGTCGTACTAAAGCATTTTTGGCAGGTTGCTGAGCGCCGTGTAGCACATAAAATCGGTTCGCGGTCAGTAAGGAGAACTCATACATGTCATACTGTCGATCTTTGAGAAAATGACAGCATTTTAATGTAAGGTTATAGCCCGAAAAATACTGTATACGAGTTCTGTAAGGTGGTTTGTTTCGGGGCGGGACGCAGTTTCACACATTCTTTATTTTGCACTTTATGGCACACATCTCTTATCTCGTATAAAAATATATTGATATATTTAAAAACTCGATATATCGCCCAGTCCTAAAAGGTAGGTAGACATTACATATTATTTCTGATAGGAAGTGTGGGAGAGGGAGTCCTGCAGCATCACACCATGGATGCTGTGCTGAGAGCATCCAAACATACAGCCATGATCTCAGCCCAGCAGGAAATCAACTAAGAACACACGCTAGGTTTTCTCTGCATACTTAACTGTTTTAAGGGTTTAAGTTACTCAGGTGTAACATGGTTTTTATTTATCAAATGTCCAGAAATACAAAAAAAGAATTGAATGGGTTTGCTTACATTTAACTGTATCTGTGTGCAGATGGCAGAAGTCGTTCAAGAGAAAAGTCGTGGCTTGAAGTTTGCGGAGCAGCAGCTCCTTCGCCACGGCTGGGAGCACGGTAACATACTTTGAACTTCTTCATTCAGACATTAAAGCAGCGCTCGTGAGGGTCGGCGCTCAGGTGCAGGAGTCTGATCGGCGCTTTCTCTCCTCAGGTAAAGGACTGGGACGAGCTGAAAACGGCATATCGGAGGCCATCAAGGTGAAAGTGAAGTGTGACAAAGGAGGAGTAAGTGCTGTTCGTCTTTATGCAGCAGACGCTTGTGTTGACGCTAAAACAGGTTTAAGCTGAGAGGGCCATTTACATTTCTTCTGCAAGGTTGGCCATAAAGAAGGGGAGCAGTTCACCTTCCACTGGTGGGATCATGTCTTCAATAAAGCCTCCTCCAGCCTGCAGGTGGAGTCTGATCAAGTAGGTCGCTCATTTGTTTTATTTTTTAGGTTTTGCTCGTACTTATTTATTTAGCTCGTCCACCTGAGTGCAGCTGTTTTTTCAGTGTGAGAATAGTTTCAGGATTTTAGGAGCAGTTTGACGTTTCAGAGCACCACCTCTGAGGAGTGGATGGAAGCTGCAACAAGGCCCAGACTCAGTTTAACGTTCACATCAGTTCCATTCAGGCTCCGAGTGGAAGCAGCTGGTTTGTTCACTTACACAGCGTTAACGTGTTTCCTGGTTTTCTGATGCAGAATGGGATTAAGCTGAAGAAGACTGCAGAAGAAGAGGATGGGATGATCTCCAATAAAAAGCCGAGGAAAGCGACACTGGCTAAAGATAAGCTGTATGGATGCTTTGTCAAGGTAATTGTTTGCTGTCTTTCAGCTGCATGTCCCTTCTTGTTGTACTTACTGCAGTTCAGTCATCACACTGCTTGCCACTCATTGCTGGTCACTGGCGTTACGCGATGAGTCATGAGAGCGTCTCGTTCAGGAAAATCAAAATGGCTACAAAAACAATGCTGCGGTCCCCAAATCTGACTGAGCAGCAGGTATGTCGTCGCCTCGACCTCCACCTTTGTTGTAGCGTTCGTGTGCGATTGCAGAAACTGAGAGGACATGAAGGAAAGTACAAAGAAATGTAAAAATGTTCACACCCCAAAAACTGACCGTAACAAAGAGCAGGAACCCGTCTGGCACGGCTTATAAAACACGGGGACACGACCACACAGTAACAGCAAAAGCATAAACAGCGTCAACGACGTCGGCCATTTATGTAGTTCACATCGTAGGCTCTGCAAAGTTTCCCCACATTAGTCTAAAGCGGGCCTTACAGTGGGACATTACGACACTTTTGTGCATGACATGGACGCTTATTGTGTTTTTAAATGTAGTTTATTTTATTCACACAAACAAACAAACGGCTGGCTCTTCTTTCAGTCTGCCACGCTGCTGTCTGGTCAGGAGCAGCCAGAGCCGAAGGCCTCCAGCTCAGATGACTGCAGCAGCTCTGATGAGGAGGATGAGCAGAGGATGGATCTGTCCAGCACCACCAAGTAAGACTAACATTCACAACATCTGATCTCATCAGCAACTGAGACTTGGAATTGTATTCGGACCTTTTATCTGATAAGTTACATCGTGAGGTTTCTGTCTGACTCTCTGCAGGCTTTCTGACACTGATCTTATGAAGGTTTGTGGAGGACGCACAGCTCACAAGTAAGATGATATGATTTGTAGAATTCAACATGGAAAAAAACATCAAAGTCAAAGGAGCTTGCAAAGAAAAGCGTCTGGACTTCTTTAAGTTGCTTGAAGCAACTTAAAGAAGTCCAGACGCTTTTCTTTGCAAGCTCCTTTGACTACGATGACCTGGATGACTGAGAACCTTCACAGACATAAAAAACATCAAAGAACTGTAAAAAAGCATAACCCAGTTTTCTGTGCTTCTGTTATTTTAGGGGAGCCAGGCACGGCTTGACCATGAGCGCCAAGTTAGCCAGGCTGGAGCAGCAGGAGGCCGAGTTCATGGCCAAGTATGGAAAGAAGAACCAACCAGCAAGTGCTCCTCCTCTAGCCTCCCGTTTAGAGACGCCGGAGGAGATGATGACAAGCAGAAAAAAGATGAAAATGAATGAGAAGAGTAGTGATGGAGTGTGTGAAACTCCCACAACAGATGTTCAACCTAAAAAGAAGAAGAAGGAAAAGAAGAGCGCTGATCCCGAGGAAAGAACTGATGAGGATTTGATCCATGTAGAAAACTGTGAGGCAGATGATTCGCACAAGAAGAAGAAGAAGCAAAAGAAGAAGAACAAAGTGGAGGAGAACAGAGTCGAAGAGACGCATTCACCGGCTGCAGAGAGCGAGGAGGTGACTGCTGAGATGCATGCTGACGAGGGCAAGAAGAAGAAGAAATCCTCTAAACCCCCAAAGGAAAATGACAGTGACTGTAAGGAGCCTAGCCAATCAAATCACACAGGACTGGAGGACTCAGACGTCACAGAGTCAGTGAAGAAAAGGAAAAAGTGCAAAAAGGACAAAACGTGTACACATGAGGAGGCTCCTCCTCTGAAGAGGAAGAAGAAGAAGTCTAAAGACTAGTGTGTGATTAACTGGGAATCTAATTCCATGTCTGAAGAGGACGTGCTTCCCAGTGTACTCGTCTGTGGTGCTAAACCTGAATCATCAATGTCGACCAGCAAGAATAAACAAGTGAAATTGTGGTTTAAAAAAAACAATCAGCTGAGGTTTCATGTGAGTGCTTCCTGTTTAGCTTTGTTTAGTCGATATTAGAGGAACTCGGTGAGTTACAGTCTAAACGTGGACTGTAAAGGAACTTTGGATGTTTTCAGCAAACTGGAAAACATCTTTAACTACATCCAGCAGGTGATGCGCATTACAAGCCCGATGCTGTTTAGACAAGTTGATGATTTTTTTTTTAAAGATTGCCTTTATAACATGAAATGTGCCCTAAATAATCCATCACAACCAGACGTGGCTTTTCTAACCTCAGCGATTGTAGCTGGAGTCAGTTTAGTTGTTCTGGGAGGTAAACATGACGGAGACCCCAGCTGTTTTTACAGTACTGGTGCAGGACGCGGAGTATTGTGACACATGCTGGTTTTATATGCAAATTAAATGATCAGACTCAGCAGACTTTTGTACTTTTGATTCTTTTATTTAAAATTGTCTTTGCGTAAATAAACATTTTAAACAACAAAGTAAACAAATATACAACATGTTTGTATCTTTTGTAGGAATTAGAAAATATTCATGTGCGTAGATCATTTGCAGAGTTTTAGTCACCTGACAGGTGTGTCAGCGTGTTCCTGGGACAAGACGCACACACTTGTGACAGATGTAAACTTTGATGAGATTCTTGTTTCCTGAGCTGTAATGTTGATTAGCTGTAAGCTTTTTTGTGAAGATGATAGAAAATAAAATAGTTCCTACGTTAAAACGCCTAAACAAGGAATTTGTTTCCCTTCTTGAGTAACCACGAGTGATCTCTAAAAAGAGATATTACTGCTGAGTTTTTCAAATGTTTTTCAGCACCACAAGGTGAGTCACATGTACTCCCACTGTATTTAAGAGAAAGCAGATGTGTCTTCAGTGGATATCTGGAAAACCTGGCAACTCTAACCCAGATGGATAAATAGCACTACAGGCCAGAGGGGGAAAAGATTTTTGGGTGAACTGTTCCTTTAATCAAGATGTGAGAAGAATGCGTCCATGGTAACAACAATAAATGACCCTTTTGCCTTCAATTCCAACCAAATATCTTGGTTCGAGTCACCAAAGATTAAAAAACTGAATAGTAGAATAAATGTGTCTTTTTATGATCTTTTGGATCATTTCATTAATTAAATATATGTTCGACCTTCATTTACCTGAGTTTCAACATCAGTGTTGGTTGTGATTTAAATGTTTCTTTAAACTGACAGCTCAGTGAGTGTTCAGATGCTGAACACTATCCTCACTTCACTATTAAAAATAACAAAACGGTCGAAAAATCTTGTTGACTCGACCCTTTGTCATTGCTACGGTGGCTCAGAAAAATCCTTAAAGTGTTACTGTATCTCAAATTTCTTCCTAGATGAATCAAAAAGTTAAAAAGATAAATATGCCTGCTGAACATGTGAAGTGCAGTGACTGTCTTTCCATCAAAAAGGGCTTTAAAACATCTGCATCACGCTGTTATTTTAAATAGATGATTAACAAAACCCCAAAAGTTGAACTTTCAACTTTTCCTTGAACCTCCGTCACTTTACAACAGAGACAGATGGAGACAGCGTTGAGGTTGACACGGGATGGAACTTGCAACATGAATTATGTAATCAATACATGCAATGTTGTGCGGTGTAAAAGTACAGTGTTGCATTATTTCTGCCTTTTGGCGACACACACACTGGTCTGCTCAAAGTCTGTTTTCATAAATAGTTGCAGCAGCTGAAAAACTACAAGTTCTCCATCCTCCATTATAAAGATGAGAAACGAATAATGCAGACAGTATCTGGAGCATGGATGGCAACGTGGAAGAGCACACAGAGAACGGCAGCTGGAACTAAGTGGACAAAAGCAGGGCGTCTATCTCACAGATGAATTTGTTCTGAAAGTGACCGTTCGCTTTGACCCAGCTTTTTGTGGCATTCGTCCCAGGGATGATCAGCACATATGAGACTGAAGTGTCTGACAGCTCCTTCATCCAGTAACTATAAAAGCAGGACATGAACGTCAGCATGTGTAAAAACATCCCAAATATTTTATTTCTGCATAATTTCTTTCATAATGCATCTTCTTTTACTGAAATCACTTTATCCAATATTATTATTATTGGCATATAAATCACGATATTATTTTATCATTAATCATTCAGTCATTCCCACCACTGCTGTAACTTTGTTCTGTAGCTGTAAGACAGTTTTCTTACCTCAGCGTGTCATTGTGTCCATCAATCCAGACCCAGTTATTTGCTGTCTTCTGTAACCCAATAAAGTATCCGTGGTCTTTACTAAAGTAAGATTTTATGTGACTACTGAGAAATTCCTGTGGGTCATATCATTCGTCATTCAGTGACATTTATGAATTATCATCAGTTATGTAAGAAAATATCATGGCTGTAATTGTGCTGTGGTCTTGTTGTTAGAGCTCACCTGCTCTTTGAGATCGTCAACAACAACCAGATCTGCAGCTTTGCCTTTGCAATACACTCGGCTTTCCTCCCAAGTTTTCCAGGGGGCGTTCTCATTGTAAAACAGGTAGCACTTGTTCTTAAATAGGATCCAGCCACTGCGGCATGGCTGGCACTCTGCAAGGAGATTAGAAACTAGACTCAACGTAGGCTCATTAACAACATTATCAAATTATGCAGCAAAAAAGCTAAAAGATTCACACTGTTTTCTTTTCTACTTTCCATTTTAAAGTAGCTTTGATGAGTCGTTCTCTGGAAACAATGAGAACACAGAGATTCCTTGATTTTGCTAATGAGAAATTCTTAAGCTTCCCTTAAACTTAATGGACAGATCCTTAGTTTTAGAGAAAGGCAAAAGACGGTGAGGTGCTGGTTTGCTTTATTGGTTTTGGTGTGGCAAATATGCATCTATGCGTTATCGCATGTTGGGTGAGCCGTTCACTCCTGAGAATTGTAACAAACATGTGGGACATACTGCCAACTGATGCGCAGGGGTTGAAGGTCAGTTCAAAGGAGAACAGATTCCATGTGCGGTAAAGTCAAAATAAATTGTTGTACATTTTAGATGATATTTGAGGCTCTTTACCTCAAATATAACTCTTTTCCTGGGTTTTGTGACCAGTTCAAATCATCTCTCCCAACCTGCACGCTTACTTGTTTTGTGGTTTTCTATTTAAATTTGTCACATAAATTCTCCGTTCATACTCTCATGACTCTATCATACTGTTGATCATCTTCAGCTCCTAATAAAATTTTGACATATGAAGCTTATTAACTTCTGAGACAAGCACAATGAAGCACTCACGTTTATTAGGACAGTAATCTTTTACTGGAAAGTTATCAAACTTCAGGATGACTTCCAGCGTGCAGTTGAGATTGTCTCTCTGTCTTCTCAGCTCCCGAGTTTTATTGTCTGAGATTTCCTTCTCCATGGCCAACTGCTGATGTTCTGCTGTGAGGTTACTGAGGTTTGCTGCCTGTACCTTAAATAGCAAACTCACTGTGAAGGAGAGAAGACAGCACAGCACTCATCATCACAGCCGACCAATGAGGGTTCACATCCAGTCCTAACAGAGAAGCCTCCTCTTCCTGTCTTCATTGTGAGACAAAGCTGAAGACACCAAACACACTAAAACATGAATGTATAATAAAATGTTTTTTTAACCACCAGTAGAAGGTAATAAATAGTAAAAAGGAAAATTAGCCTTAAATTAAAATCCAGGCACTAGAGGTACAGAAAGCTCGAGTAACAAGTAATAAAATGCAGTTTTGTATTTTAGTGGGAAAGAGATTAAAAAAAATAAATGGTTCAGGTTATACGGGGAAAAATTAATCTCTGTTTTTTAAGCCACCTTTATAAACAGCTTTGAAGGTTTTTCCACATACAGTGAATATGTAATGAGTACGTTTAACTAACTGATCCACAAACAACCATTAAATCAAGACAGAAGCTAAGTAGGAATAAATATGTGTTAGAAATTAACAGGGTTTGCACAGGGAGGAGGATGGGGTGGATGGATGGGTTTGATGAATTTCAGGCTATGTCCACAGTAGCCCAGATAGATTTGAAAACGGCCTTTTCATCTGAAAACGCTCTGCGTCCACACTAGCATTTTCAGTCATTTTCACAGAGTTGTGAAAAGTTTTCACAGAGTTCACACATTTTTGCAGCTAACCAATCCTTTCTTTTTTCATTGCCACATCACATGATGCCTATAATGCCCTGGAGAAGCAAAACAAACCACATATATGGTTTTTTAGGCTGGATAGAACCATTACTTCCTTCTTTTACTCTTTAATGTCACTGTCGTTACTCACGCAGCAGGTCGAGCTTTTCACAAAGCTTCACTATGTAACTTCAAGCCTAAAAATCACCCCAAATTAGCCAAGTTTCATTTACTCAGGAATACTACTACTACTAACAATAATTATAATAGACCTTTTGTTCATAAAACTTCAGAAATAACATGAGGTTCTGCAGTGTTCTGTAAGGTTATTGTGGACTGCTCAGAAACAATAACTTAACACTTAAATCACACATCAGATCTTCAAGAATAATTCAAAAATCTTTACTGGCATTTATTATGTAATGTGATGTAAAGCAAACTGCATAACAGCTGGCACTGAAAACTCAAAACCATCAAACCTTTGATGGTTTAAAAACACCAAATATCAAAGTAAAATTCTGTTGAGCAGAACCAACACTAAACAGAGAATTAGAAAATCAATGCATAAAAATATTTTATTTACTTAAAATAAAAATGAAAGCTAGACTTTTGGGAGAACATGAGAACTAAATGTAACAATAAAGTTGAAAATAGGACGAAAACTGTCTTTATTTATTTTTTATTTCTATTTTTTGGTCAAATTTGTGACTCAGCTGCTTTCACATGGTGTTGTCTTTGTATTGTAATATCTGCCCCTGTTAATTACCCTCCATATTATAATAATTAAGAAAGGTAAACAAACAGTGAAACTAATAAAAAAAACAACAGCTGAAACGAGCAAACCCACTCTCTGGAAACATGCAAAAATCCAGAACAAAATAAAACTAAAACTAAATAGAGTTTGGTGTGCTGAACTCAGACTTACTGTAGATGATGGCGATGATGCCCACCAGCAGGAGGACACAAAGGATCTCCAAACATGCCAGCAGTAGACGGAAATTGGAGCATGCAGCTGCTTTGCCTTCTGCTTCTAATGAGAAATTTGACGTCATTATTATGAGAAACTGTCACATGGACTTTTACTGTTGTGTGATGCTGCAGCTCATTCCTTTGCTCGTGTGTTGTCTGTTTTCTTAGGCTCTGTTGTGTTAGCCTCTCAGGACCACTGAGGCACCAGATGTTCATGTCAGATGTTGTCAAAGACATACAGGTAGTGAATACATTTGTTCCACTGATGGTCTAAAACATTTTGCTGCTAAATTAGTGAAGATGAAAAAGGGATTTTATAACTTACCAGGTGCAGGAGGAGGACCAGCTGGCGCTTTAGATTTAACTTCAGAATAAATGGCTGGGTCCTCGTTTTTTTCTGGAAGACAGAAATAACTAAACGAATGGACTCATAGAGATGAGTTTGACAACAACACAACCCACAGAATTACAAAATGCGCAGTCATGTGTCATTAAAGCATATCATTGATCTCTTAGGTCGCTCTATGTTCCCCTTTTCTTTCCTTCTCCTTCCCCTCACACACCACACTCTGCAAAATCACCACTGTTAAATTAACACAGTGAGTTTTAAACCTGACACTAGAAAAGTGTCTATATGTGTTGACTCCTTTAACTGTTAAATGAACACTTTTGAAAGTGAACTGCTTGTCCACCACTACTATGTTCGTTAGGTTAGCCTCCACTGGTTTGTAGTCTCACTGGATCTGTTCCAACATAACACAGTATTTTATTCTATGTTATTTTATTCTATTCCATGTTTTTCTTAATTATTCCTGCTTGTAACTTTGCACTGTTCACTTCCTGCCGTGACCCAACAAATTTCCCATGTGAGGACTAAAAAAGGTTTATCTTATCTCTTATACTGTGCCGACCACTGGGTTATGGCGTTCCATGTATGTCCCGCCTGCTAGCATCTTGCACCCTGCAGTTATGTGCTGGATTGTCTGAGGGGCATCTTTACACAGGCTGCACCTGGGATGTTGCCTGGTGTGACAGACCCCAGCCTCTATGGATTTTGTACTACTCAAGACTTGCCTTAGTCTCTGCAGGTGGTTGCAGTATTTTTGCATTACTTGTGTTGGTCTGTTTTCTCAGGCTGTGTCATTGTCAAATACAGAAAGTTTAAAGCATGAATTTGCTTTGTTGCTCATGTAATATCTGCATGAACGTTATAACTTACCAGGTGCAGGAGGAGGACCAGCAGGCGCTTTAGATTTAACTTCAGAATAAATGGTTGAGTCCGGGATTTTTTCTAGAAGACACAAATGACTGAATGCAGGGATTCATACCAACAAGTCTGACATGTGTGCCATGTGCTAGTTTTCAAACTAGCTTTATCACATCATTTATGATAAAGCCAAACAATGTGATAAACTCAAAAAGATAAGTCTGAGCTCATGACTTGGCGTATAAAATAGAAATGTTGTGCTTTCTAGTGATTTGAATGTTTCCGAATTTTAATGATAAATAATCTTTTTGTTGTTTTTAAATAAAAACGGGATGATATGATGTGAACAGAGCAGCGTTCTTTCATCAGGCAACTTCACAAAGATATAAACAGTCAGACTTATCAGTGATTCATTTTTGAATGAAGGAGGAGAGTAACTTACCTTTTGTTAGTGAAGCACCAGTTTTGAAAACCATTGTGGAATAATTGACTTCTTCCTCCATCATTAAAAGCCAAATTGCCTTCAGCGCAAAGAAAACTAAAACTGGCCTCAACAGGAGCGGACTGTTAAAAGAGTGTTACTGACACCCCACCCACATGCCCATCATGTGGGTGGGGTGTCACACGCACCATAAAACAATATGAAATTCCAGCTGTAACTGGCACAGAACAAACCCGCGGTTCCTCTTCCTATTACTCCTCAACGTGTTCATACACATGCCTGATCTCGGAATTATGTTGCTTCTGTAACACACCGTTACGCTAAGAGCAGTTAACACATTTGGGCTTTAACCCAACAAACCAACCTGTCACATATCTGTCTGGTGCAACGTCCGCGTTGTTTCTTAACTGATGATCGATGTCGTTGTGAGACATCGTGTTAGGTGAAAACGTTGTGATGAAAAATGTCTGTCACAGTACGAAAAAGGAAGAGGCGAGTGATCGCAATTTTTGCAACTCGTTTGGCCCAAGGAGCAGTGAGACTCTGCAGTGGTGAGGTGTCTGTCATCACTGCACCTCATAAAGAAAAATTAATCAAACCTTCACACAGTAATCATGGATCAGCCAAACCGTTGTCCTGATGTAATGAACAATATTCAATTCACACTATTTAGCAAATTTATTGACTTAACATTCCTCAAAATGACGACAAAAGAACTCCATTAAACACTAAATGATGTGATAACTTTGCCACTTGTATCCTGTTAGACAGGGAGGATCCTGTGGATCATAACCGTGGAGAGAGTGGTGGTGTTGAACACAAACACTTTTATTTGGTGATGTATTTGATGAATTTGTCCGGGAAGTTACTGCGAGCCCCTTTTAATTCTCAATGAACTTTAATTCTCATTTGTCTGTGCAGTTTACCCCAGTTTACAAGTTCTTTCTGCACTTCACACGCTGCAATAACCGGAGATGTGATGAACTACTACATCATTTATATTCTGGTTATTTATTTATATTGCACTTTTTAAAGTCAATAAACAACAACAATAAAAGCATAAGAAATTGTAGTAAATTATTATGAATGGAAACAAAAACTTGATGGGAAAAAAGAATTTGACCAGAACTGTAAAACAGACAAAAAACCAAAATGTGTAAAAACTGTAAACTGGTCACAGACAGATTTCCATTCAACGATTAGTTTTATTAAATGCATCAAAATACTGCGACAGGCACAGCTCAGTGGAGGCGAGGCCGAGCACACAGCTGTTGCTCCAGCTGCCTGTGTTCTTAGGTATCAGCCTTACGAGTGTCCAGATGAATGAGTAAATAAAAGAATCACAGTTTTTATGAAGGTGGGAGCTGTCCACACCGGCCAAACCACTTTAAGCTGGAAACACTTTTTTTCATAATAACATTGAACATTTTAACATGAGTCTCTTGTAGGATAAGCCAGTTAATTTCTTACACACTGTTTTAGTTTTAGACAATAGGCACAACACACACACACACACACACACACACACACACACACACACACGCACGCACGCACGCACACACACACGCACACACACACACACACACACACACACACACACACACGTATTATTATTATTGTTCAGATTCTTGGTTTCTGTTACTATAAAAGGAATAAAGATGCTTACAATTTACGCCCAATGAGCATGAACAGACTGTCACTTCCTCAAGTGGAAAGGGAAGTTTCACAAACATGTAGTATTACAGTTTTTGCCCACTGCTTGAACACATTTTGCAAAACCCCGCTCGCTGTGCCAAAACTGTACACACAAGTACACATGACACAACACTGGGAAATATACCATTCACATCTGTGCCAAATTGGAACTCTACTCCCAAAACCTAAACTCTGCTGTCAAAACCTAACATTCCTTTGTCAAAATGTAACTCTGTTGACAAAATGACACATACCTGCACCATATGCAAACACTCACAGATCAGGGGGAACACACTAGTCTGCTGTACATAAAACACTGCAGTCCTTGATTCCCATTGTTTATTCAGAAGGCACATTTACAGGGGACACATTTCCAAACAACCATAAACGCAAATAGACCTACTCAATACTGTACATTGCAGTACCATGAATACAGGTACAGCAAATAAAACAACAACAACACAATAGTACTGCAATAGAAAAAACACTATACTGTAAACACAAAAAACCATGACAATTGTGCATAAGTGGGCTCATGGATCCCGCCGTCTGTTGGGGTCTGGCCACAGGACCTCATCAACATCGCAAGCAATGTCCTCTCCCGCTAGGCACCGGGGTAAATATCCTCTTGCTCTCCCTCCATCCATGCTTGCAAAGTTCTTGGAATGGCTACGCTGAGGGCTTTTTGTAGTTGGCTAATTGGTGTTCGGTTTTGCAAGTAAGTGCCTTCAGGTGTGTATTTGAGTGGTTGCAATTACCCGATGTGTTTTGTATTTTGGATACATGTGTTTTCCGAATGGCACCCTGAGATTTCATTTTGTGAGTGAAGTGTCTTATGTATGAAATAGAGTGTAGCATGCAGGACCATGTGTGTTGCATGAGGGAGTAGGTGTGTTGCATAATTGGTACTGGGGTGCAAAGCAGCGCTTTTGTTTAAGGTAGGGGTACATGTGTTTGAGGTATGGTAACAACAGCTTCACGTTGTGTTACTTTAGTCTAAGCATGGGTTTATAGTGTTCAAGCAACGGGCAAAAACTGTAATAAATAGTAACATAAACACATTCATGCCTGTCTCTGCATTTACATGCATCGGAATATGTTTCTTTTGCCATCTAATACATTAGAAATCCCATAGTAATGACAAAAGAGCACATATGATTACAAAAAAGTACAAATGCTTTTGCAGTGCAGCTCAAACGTGGTGTGTGATTCTGCAGCATTTGTTTCAAAATGTAACTGAACATAAATCAAAACAAAGAAATTACTTATTTTTTACAAAATCAGTTTGACACAGAAAAAAAAACTCATTGCCTTTAATTCAAAAAACACAAGGAGTTACTGTCACATTAAATAACAATTCTATTACTGGGACTGATTCCTAATCTGCTTTAATTAACGCTCGTCTTTCACAGATCCAACAGTTTCTCATGTCACAGCTCTCTTTGCCCCAGTTGGCCAGAGGGGGCGCTTTTGGTAGGCTTAAAGCACAATATCTTCTGTTGACATCTTGTTGCATTTTCCAGTACCTAAAAAAGTCACATAGTGTCAGTCTGTATGCCTACTCAACATTTCAACCTTTGACAAAATAATCTTTATTGTATTTCTGAAATTCAGCACGTGGAGTGCTTGGGTACCAAAAATAAGTCAATGATCTGTGTCAGTCTCTGCACACACAGCATTCCTGATGGTAACAGGGATCGAGGCAATTTAACCAACACAGAGGCCATGAATGCACACTTGTGTTTGGTCTCGCAAAAGTCAGACACTTAGATGTTCTGAAAACCACAACCGAGTCCATCACGGATGTGGAAGCTTAAGAAAAATGTCAAAGGTCAAAAATCATCTTTGAGAAACAAGCAATGGATGCAGTGAAGAGTTTTTAACAGCTTTTATTTTTTTTCACTCTGCTACAAATAAGTTTGTTGTTTATTAGGACTTGTGTGTTCTCAGTGGTGGGAGCTGAGAACACACAAGTCACACAACAGTGTTAGCCAGGGTTTTCCTTACTTGGATGCATGCAAGACGTCTTTTTATGTTGAATGAAAACACTTTGTGTTTTTTCATTTCACAAATGAAAAGAGAAAATGCAAACAGAAAACAAGTCTGCCATCAACATGTGCTGATTCGACTTAATCGTCACTTCCTTGAGCTATTCCAGCCTAAAGGTTGTTTTAACTTAAACTTATTTGGAATTGGTTCATACTGTAAACTTCTTGTGGCTGTAAATCTTAAACTTCTTGTTATTAGAAGAGGTAATGTTGAAACAATTTTTTTGTTCTGCTTTTTACTTCCATTCCATATTTTTTAAAGGGTATTTACAATGTGTGTGTGTGTGTGTGTGTGTGTGTGTGTGTGTGTGTGTGTGTGTGTGTGTGTGTGTGTGTGTGTGTGTGTTTGCACTTATACATCTTTGTGAGGATCAAACTTTGACTGTTACTATACTTGTGGGGACCATCAGTCCTTATGGGCCCAAATTGTAGGCCTCATGAGTTTGAAGGCATTTTTGAGGCACAAATGTGGTTTTAGTGTCAGGGTTACAGTTAGGTTGTGGTTAGGCATTTGTGATGGTTAGAGTTAGGCTAAGCAGCTAGGGAAAGCATTATGTCAATTAGATGAGCTAAGTAAGATATAATAGGCAAGTATTTGTATGTGTGGTGGTGGGCGGGGGTCATGCTTACGTCACAGTGAGGTTACTTCCATCTACCCACGTCCACGTGTCCTTTGGGCTCTCTGCTCTCAAACCGATCCAGTAGCCGTGCTTATCATCAGCGTGGTAGTCCTTAGTGTGGTTGCTGATAAATTCCTAAATTTGTAATACATGTGTTATCTGCCACATAATAATAGTCGGGTTTTAGTTTTCCTTTGAGATAAAAAGAACGATGACTCGTCTATAACAGCAAAATATAAAAACAAACAGGTTTAAAAAAATAACAACCTTTTCCTTTTTTGCACACTATGTTTACATTTTAAATGGATAAAACTGGCTTTTGTTCCCTCAAGAAATCAACACTCAGTACCCATATTGACAAAGTTTACACAACTATCCAGACTGCTGGCTGTAGTTACAGCTGCTGGGTTCCTTGGCTAAGACTCTGTGGGCTTGTTAGACCAGATTGCCTGGGAGGTGTTGCTGAATTACCTTCTTCAGATCTGTCCACAGATGATCTCTCCAAACTGCAAACTCTGATCTGACGCTTAGAGTTTGGAGCTCTTCAAAATGAATTTAAGTTTGTCCAATCAGATTAAAGAACATTTTTCTCTTGGTCTTTTAAACTCTCAGCCTGTGCCTTTTACTTCGACTATCTTTTGTCTGATGTATGAAGAGTCGTTCTCACTCTCTTTTTAAACACGCTGGGGACTCTGTAGGAATGATCGCTGGTTTCTTTTCCACAGCTCTGACCAAAGATCATGTCATTTACTGAATTTGGAAGTGAGGCCACAAAGACTATTTTAAAGAGAGCAGCGAGCTAGTGAGAACACTCAAAGCTTGCAGTTCCTTTTTCCTGAATATTTCTCTTTTCTTTTTAAGTACAAGTTGAGGCCTGCTTGAATCAAAACACAACTCAAATATAAAGCAAACCCCAGTGCACTTCAGAGAACAAGAATCTGAATAGTTTTAAAATAAGAGATTTCAGTTTCCCTTTTTACAGTATTTTTAAGTGTTGAGTGAGGAAGAAATATGTTTTCTTAAAATCCAGTCAAATGGCAAAGAGGTGGGAAAAGACTGAACTGAAGGAAGGTAACTTTGAATTATAGTTGCATTAACTTCCTCTTCAAACCTTCCTGTCTAAATCGCTTGAACTTTGACACTGTTTTTCCTCTCTGTGTATGAAAACGCTCTTTCACTTTATTTAAACTTTAAAAAAATCTATACAAATGAAATCTGGCTCACCTGTTCTTCCTGACTTTCGATCACTACCAGAGCCGCCTGATACATTTTGCATTGATCACGACTTTGATCCCAGCTCCTCCAATAAACCGAATATTGATGTTGGGAAAAAAAGTAACAGCTTGACTGAAACAGCACCCAGCCATCCAGGCAAGGTTTACACACTGATCAAAAAAAGAAAGGGACAACAAGACCAGAATCATTTTAGAAATCCAACTTTACAATACGTTACAAAGAGTTTTTTAGATTTGAAGATTTTTAAACAGTTTAAAACATTAAACCTTCAAATAAAAACATGTTTGTGGGAGTCGTGACAGGAAGTGAGCAAAAAGTAACATAAAATTATATGAAACTAAGACATGTTCACCTTTCTGTGGGCAGTGTTTTTCCACTGAAAATTCCTGATATTCCATGATGACTCCGATGGTCCAGTTGAGTTGGTCTCTCTGTCTGGTCAGCTCCTCTGTCTGTCGCTCTGAGGATGTTTTCTGTGTCATCAGCTGCAGGTTCTGTGCTGTGATGTTGGCCATTTCTCGCTGCTGCTCACTCATCACTGTGTTAACTGCAGTCAGATAAGAAACAGATGTTAGTGTTATTGTCTGATTACACTAAAGTCCTTGAATACACAGCAGGTGGACTTACAGCGGAAGTTGAGGCCGATGATGACTGACACCAAGATGAGGCAAATAATCACCAGAACAGTCACAACCAACGCAAGCCGACTACAGGGTGGAGCTAACTCTTTATTCTCTACAAGAATAGAAAAAAATGTTTATTTTAATGATTGAATAAAAAATATCATTTATTTGTTCAGAAAACCACAAATAACCTGTTATTACAAGGGATGCATCCAATTTCCTGTCCTCAGTGTTCACCTCGTCGTAGATTGTTTCTGTGTCTTTTGGCGTCACTGGAAAAACAAAAAGAGTTTAAAGGAAATGAAAACTCATTTGTAGTTTGTTCTTTGTGGGGATTATTTATTAAACTTTACTTTTTAGATCACCAAAAATAGCAGTGCTAGGAAAGAACTGACATGCTGGGTAGCATAACATCGCCAGAATTAACCAACTGGTATTGATCGTTCCCCAAAACCACATACATCACAGTTTTGGCGATGAAAGGGAAGAAAGTAAGTCTGTCACTCACCGTATGTTGGATCTCTCTTTGTCTGAAATATCACTGTCACATAATTCTCTTCTTCCACCATTATTTATGTGTTTGCTGTTTATTGTCAGCGGTACTTACTTTGTTAATCTCGGAGTCAAACAGCCACTGTGGGTTTACTGGTCAGTGTAAGTGAAGTTTAGAGGCAGAGAAGTGGACCGTTGCAAGATCTGCACTTCTTCTTTTTGTCAGAAAGCGGGAGGGTTGTGGTTATTAGAGGGACATTTTTCTTTTTTTAGATAGTTTTGCAAGACGAGAAAAAATATGTCAGAACAAAGCGACGGCTGTCGCAGAGTGGAAGACTCACGTTTCCAGGATACTAGTGGGGTCATTTTTTTCATTTGAGTTTAACAAACAATTACCTTCAGTGAAAGAAGTGTGTGTGTGTGTGTGTGTGTGTGTGTGTGTGTGTGTGTGTGTGTGTGTGTGTGTGTGTGTGTGTGTGTGTGTGTGTGTTAGTTTACAAAGGTCAAAACTAAGTAACTGCAGCATGAATGTTATTGTAAAAATGATGAATTTCATCAGTTCACCTCGACACTGTTTGTAGGCAGATGTCAACCAAAGCTAACTTTTAACTTCCAGTTCATTTCCAAATTATCAGGCACATCCAGCTCAAACTGATCTAATACAGCAGTGAAATAAATCAGCCACAATAAAGCTTAATGTTTTGGATCAGTTTGTGTTGAAACTTCAAATGTGTGATCAATTTTTAGGCTTCACATTAAAGGTTAAAACTTCCAGCACACTTCAGTTAACCTACATGGCAGACGTTGTACGTACTGAGTACAATCAATCATCACAGTTCAATCAATGCCACTGAAACACGGAGATGCTGATGCATGCTTTCATTACCAGTCGCATTGATTACTGTAATGCCCTGCTCTCTGGTCTCCCTAAAAAGAATATTTCACCTTTACAACTTTTGCAAAACTCGGCAGCTCGTGTGCTGACGAAGACCAGAGGGCGGGCCCACATTACACCGGTTTTAGAATCGCTGCACTGGCTCCCCGTGTGTTTCAGGATCGATTTTAAAGTTCTTTTATTGGTTTTTAAATGTCTTAATGGTCTTGGGCCTTCTTATCTCTCAGATCTGCTTTTACCATACGAACCCTCGCGGACCCTGAGGTCCTCTGGTACTGGTCTTTTGATTGTCCCTAAAGTCAGAACACATACTCACGGAGAGGCAGCTTTTCAGTGGTATGGTCCTCGTCTGTGGAACAGCCTGCCGGAGGAGCTCAGGGCCGCAGAGAACGTACATGTTTTTAAGAACAGGCTCAAGACCCACCTTTTTAATTTAGCTTTCACTTAGCGTTTATTTATTTTATGCTTATTTATTCTATCCTGTTATTCTATTATTAATTTAGGATTTACCTAATATTTTTAGATTTTATTCTTATTCATTTTTTAATCTTCTTACTCTATTTATATTTATATTGTATCCTGTTCTTATTTATTTTATCATTTTACCCTGTATATATCGTATTGCGTCATATCTCCAGTGTTTCCTCGGAGGGCGCTCTCTGCACCGGGGCTGTTATTGACCGTGGCTGCTGGGTCTCTGGGGTCCTCTCAGCCTGGTTGGGGGGCTCCTTGGCCTCCCTCCGGCTGTGTGCCCAGCCTGGAGGCTACGGTCTGTGACCGGCTCCCGGTGCAGACGGCTCCCTGTTATAATGTTTCCTCACTTGGCTCATGCGAGCCCAGCCCAATTTTTACTCTTTAAGTGTGCGCGTGTGTGTATGTGTGTGGGGGTGGGGGTGGGGGGATATATGTGTATTGAGAGTGTGGGGAGTGAGTTGGAGGGTGGGGTGGGCTGCTTTTAACTATGTAAAGCACTTTGTGCTACATTTTTTCTGTATGAAAAGTGCTTTATAAATAAAGATTGATTGATTGATTGATTGATTGATTGATTGATTGATTGATTGATTGATTGATTGATTGAAACATTAAAAACTACAGTGGCATTGCAAAAGTATTCGGCCCCCTTGAACTTTCCCACATTTTGTCACATTACAGCCACAAACATGAATCAATTTTATTGGAATTCCACGTGAAAGACCAACACAAAGTGGTGCACACGTGAGAAGTGGAACGGAAATCAGACATGATTCCAAAGATTTTTTACAAATAAATAACTGCAAATACATGTAGAGTGTGGTTTAAGAGTTCAACGTGTGTTTCATGCAAACATGCAAATAATCAGAAACTTTAAGGACTTAAAAACAGAAATAAAGACAAAAATCAAATATTTTATATTCTTTATTATAATTCAAATTTTAAAAAATAAAATTGTTTAGAGTAATTTAAAAAGTTAACTGACATTTCTTTGACTTGGATCTGTCCACTAAAGACTTGGGGGTAACTGTAGATTTGATCATACATCAATCTTTTTTGGCTAAATCAACCTGCAGTCTTTGTTCCCCTGTTAGAAATATGGGTGTCCTTCAAGGTTCAGAAGATTCAGAAGCACTGTGACAGAGGGAAACATGACAGAGTCTGAAACTGTGTGTGAAGTGAGATCGCTTGTTATTGGGGTTACTAGGAATATGATTGTTAGGGTTTTCTCTGTTTACACTTCAATTCAATTAAGTGTAATCAATTAAAATGTCTTGATGTATGATCAATCATCCAGTTAAGTAAATCTCCAAAAGTTGATTCTGTTCACCTGGACGTAGCGTTTTCCCCAATCTTATAAACAGGACATTTGCATAATGACTGAAACCAGCCCAGTGAACCTGCAGTCAGCTGAGACTGAAGACGTCACTGAAAACGTCCAGATGAACAGAATCAACTTTTGGAGAATCAATTAAAATATAAGTATATTTATATAAAATTAATTCAAATGGAATAATGTTAAGAAAACATGGATAACCCAAACAATCAGCAATCTCTGCTTCTTTGTAGGGTCCTTACCTTACAATATGAAACACCTTGGGGAAACTGTTGTTGTGAGCACACCTCGAGGCTTTGAAGACCAAAGAAAACCAAAGATTGCTGACTGTTACTGGACTTTCCAACACAATCATGTTCATGCATGAAGCTCTGAAGAAGAAAAATGTCAGAACATATTAGGATAATGTGACCTATGACCTATGAGACTGCTGTCATTTAAACAAAAAGGGGAGACAACTAAATACTGAGATAATCTGAAGCTCGTGTGGATTTGACACAAGCTGATGTTATATATCTATTGATATTATCATTTGTAATGAAGCTCTGCTGGCACAAATAAAGAAGCAGCATTGTGTTGCTCAGATGGTTTGTGCATGTGCAGAGGAGAGATGGAGGATATAGTGGACAAAGAAGCTGCCAGGCAGGAGGAAAAGAGGACCTCAGGGAAGTTTCATGGATGTAGTGAAAGAAATGAATGGTAAATGGCCTGTATTTGCTTTACTAGTCCCTAAGGACCCCAAAGCGCTTTACACATCCAGTCATCCACCCATTCACACACTGGTGATGGCAGCTACATTGTAGCCACAGCCACCCTGGGGCGCACTGACAGAGGCGAGGCTGCCGGACACTGGCGCCACCGGGCCCTCTGACCACCACCAGTAGGCAACGGGTGAAGTGTCTTGCCCAAGGACACAACGACCGAGACTGTCCAAGCCGGGGCTCGAACCGTCATTCAACAAATAAAGAAGCAGCATTGTGTTGTATTATAATGCATTTAGTATGTTTTATCGCTCCATCTCTGAAACAGGAATGCAAATACACAGATTCATGTAAGTCAGAGATGTAAACAAACATGCAGCAATTTCTAATTTGGCCCATTTGAGATCTAAACGAGCTGTTTTTGCTGAACGTGGTGGTCCGCGAATTAAGAAAACCTCGATACTCTTCATCTGTGATATACTTTTCATCCACAAGGGGGAACTATAGAGTAACATAGTCCCTATACTGTGTAGAGGATTTAACTCCAAATCATTGTAGCAAATTAAATCATGTCCTGTGAGAGGACCTTTACTTCTGCGTTATGAGATGTTAATCGTTAAAATGAATAAGTTACCATGAACCAAAGTAACTTTGTGAAATCTTCTTGTGAGATCATCTCGAAATTTCTGCAATCAACTGCTTGAACAACAATCAGTGAGTCACCTCAGCTGACAAATCAGCGCGCAGGATCTCTCCAGGAAGCACCTGTCGGGTCTCCACCTGCAGATCAGCAGGTACAGCCACCCTTAACGTCAAGAGAGGCACGCCGAGAGAGCTGGAGGAGAAGAAATCTCGTTTTTAAACGTTTTGTCCCGAGAGCAGCGATGGTTTGCGGCGGATTCGTTTGCACCAAGAACGCACTCAGCGCGCTCAACATCCTTTATGTGGTGAGTTGAAATATGTTGATGTTTGCTGGAGGGTAAAATGTCTCCTTGAGGGCCAGTTGACGTGAGACCTCTCTAGTCGGTTAATTTACAACTAAGAGCGGAGGGGGGGAAAAAATGCGTGTTTGCCATGGCAACGAGGTGGCATGCGTAAATGATTACTTTTTAGGTTATTTATTACTGTTTTTATTATTTTTCTACTTCAACTTTTATTTCCAGTGCCAAAAAAGTGCGTAACATGACGTTTTGAAAGCTGATCCAGTATTAGGCCCAACTTTAATATATCAGCAGTGTTTATGTGGCCTTTTCTTCCTTGTTTTGTTTAATAATCAAACTGAGTGCTGTTTACTGCTTTCCCATGAGCTGTAAAACATTTAAAAAAGCACACAGGAAGCATCAAGTTGTTAATGTAATGTCATAAAAGGAAATTTCTCAAACGGGCTTCACACAGGAAATATGATTATTTCATCAGAAATTTTAAAAAGTGTAGCATACACTGGGTCAGGTGCCCTCATACATAAACAAGTATTTGCACTCTTTTAGTAAAAAATATAATCCTGCTTAAGTAATAGTACAAACAAACAAAAGTATTTAAGTAAAAGTACTCATAATCACTTACTAGACCAAAATGATTAATGGCTTTGACTTTAATGGTGTAGCTGTTGCTAAGCAGCTTTATAATGACACACCATGATGTCATAGTAGATTTCTAGGATAAGCTCTGACAGGTAAAATGAATGAATCAATGATCAAATTGATTAAAGCTCCATAAAATGGAACAAAATTAAGAGCTCATCAAATCACTGTCTAGAAAAAAAGTGAAGAAAGATTTTCAGTGTTGCAGTGTTCAATTCTCTCAGTAAGTGATGCAGACGCTGGGCAGGATCCTCCACGTATGAGCCACGGCCACTCAGTTCAAGCAGCAGTGACAGAAGAGGCAGTTCAATCTGAAATGTTCCTTCACGGGAACATCTCGAAATAGAACTTTTCTAATCTGCAAAAAATAAACAACTAAAGCTTTAAAGTA